TTTGTGCAAAGCCCACTTCAGAGCAGGTTCACTTTCTCCATCTCCATTGATCCGCCTCACTCAATTTCTCAGTCAATACTTCATATCGTTCTGTACTCTTTCCACGATAAGAAAACGCCTTGCCTTCTTCAATTCTTGATAATTGCATTGAACCTCTTGCCTTCTTCTCCTTCTTCTTCTCCTCGTGTTCTACAACAAGTGGAGTGTTTGGAATAGTTTCAGTTTTGTTTTTTGGGTTGTGGGGTTCAATTGTAGAATTGGTATTCGCATTTTTGGAAAGGCAGCAAACTTCATCTAACCCAAAGCAATGCTCGTTCTCCGCGGGGAACGAGTCACTAAAATCACCAAACCAATCACTTTGTTCTAGAAATAAAGTTGGTGTGTTTGTGTTAGCAGCAGGATTACCATGACATATTGATTCTTTCAAAATCCTGATGGCCCTATTTTGATTCTTTCAAAATCCTTAGCTCTTTTAATCCGGTTGGTTTCTCACTACCGGCTTCCGGTGAACGGCGGATACGCCGAAAATTAGGGTTTGTTCTTGAACAAAGACGTTGGAATTTGGGGCTGAGCAACTTGATTTTCTGTTACCATATTTCAATGTATTTTCATGTATTTCATTGTATTCATTGTCTTTTTTTTTCAATGTAATTCAATGTATCTTGTTGTATTCCATGTATTTCACTGTATTCACTGTCTTTTTTCTCATTGTATTTGAATGTATCCCGCTGTATTCTATGTATTTCATTGTATTCACTGTCTTGCTATATGCCATGAATGTATTCATAAGTTTTTTTTAATTAATATAATTTATGTATTCAGATGTATTATATAATTTCTCTGAAGATTGCTATGTTTTTGGGGTATTTTTTCGGTTGAGAATCTTCTTTATAACTAAAAATACAAAATTTTTGTGTTATAATTGAGTTTGTTGATTATATTAGGAGTCTATTATGTTAATTGATTCACTTTCCGTTTTAAAAATAGTGTAATCCCCTATTTCACGCCGTTAATACAGTCGAATACAATAATCTGTCCAGCTGTAATCCCATGTTTCACTCCATGAATATAGTCGAATACACTCGAATACAACAACTGAGCTGGACTTCCCTGATTCACGCCTATTTTTGCTACTGTATTCATGAATACAATAGCTTAAATACATCAAATACATCTTATAACCACATAAAAGGTATCTATAATCCGTAATATAGCAAATGATATCTATAGATGACTAATTACTACTAAAAGATAGTGCTTTATGAAAATTTCTCTAAATCTATATGTTATATCCATAATACTATAATAAAGTTAAACTCGTGAGAAAAATGGTAAACACATACCTTCTAACGTGTTATGTCCAAGATCTAAACCTTTCAGCAGCTGTAAGTTGCCTACTTCTCCTGGAATTGTTCCAACAAAGTTATTTTCCATCAACACTAGGACTTGAAGTTCCGAGCATTCTGTTATGGTTCTTGGTATCTGTCCACTTAACATGTTGGAGCTAAGGTCAAGGTTTTGTAATCTGGGAAGGCGACGACAGAAATCAGATGGAAGATCACCAGTTAAACCAGAATCCCCGAGATCCAAATTTTCTAGTGATGATATGTTGAAGATGGAAAGCACATTGGAGCCATTGAGTTTATTGAATCCCAAGGACAACAGTTTCAAACTCGGTAGAGTGGCTATTCCTGTAGGAATATTTCCTTCCAGATGGTTGAACCTCATACTCAAGATTTCAAGATTCTTCATGTTTGAGATAGAAGAAGGAATGAACCCTTTGAAATCATTTGTTTCAATGGACAGCATTCGAAGGCCTTTAAAATCACCCAAAAATGGAGGAATTTGTCCAAAGAAGCGGTTGAAACTAAGATTAATGGCTCTCAATTTTCGTAAATGAGAAAATTCTAGTGGAAGTTCACCATAAAAATTGTTGACGCTTAGATCAAGTGATACAAGAAAAGAGAGGTTGCCAAGTTGTGGTGGGATGGTACCAATGAAACCCATACCTGAAATATTCAGTACAGTAACTCGTTGATGACGAGAGCCACAAGTGATTCCAATCCAGTTACAAACTGAGGTAGAAGAAGAAGACCAGTTTGTTGAAAGAATTTGATTAGGATCTGAAGTGATGTGATCTTTCAAGGCTAGAAGAGAAGATTGATCAGTGCTTATATTCAAAGCTAAGCATGTTGCGATATTGTGAAGAGATATTAATAAAAATCCCAGAAACGGAAAGGAGGTTTTCTCCATCGATGTTATCCTATTGCTTGAATTAACATGAAAGGAAATGTGTTTTTTGGTTGGATCTTCTTCAGCAATATAATCTCTACATCATTGGAAATGATTAAATTAATTGTAATTGAGAAGATAATGCTAACAGTTCTATATTATTGTACTAATTAAGAACATAATGCTAGCAATTATTAACTTCGTTATGCAAGCTTCATGCTAGAGAAATAAAAAGGGTTGAAAAAATGTTCAAGAAAAGCATCTTCACCGTCTCTTCAGCCATGTTACATCCATTAACTTATAGTAGCTGTTTTGACCGTTGACATATTCTATTATTTAGAAACTTCATCAATCCTTCAATCAGTTAAGAGGAAAAGAATACATTTTAATTCTATTCTTTATATTGTGAACTTTTTGATACTACCTTCAGAAAAGGAATCTGTTTGGCTCAAAACTTAACAATATACTTTGTAAGCTAAAAAATAATCAAAAGTAGAAAAAGGGTAAATCGTAATCAAATATAATAATCCTAGAGATGCAAAGATGATAATATTGTTGTAGATCTAATATTGCAAAGAGACAGTATGAACTCAATAAGATACGTTCGTTTGAAGTAGAGATAGAGAGAGAAAGCCAGAAAAATGAGAGAGTTGTATTAGATCAGATGCCCTTTTTACAATGTGAAGGTCTCCGGAGACCTTCCTCGAAAGAATCAAAAAGTTACAAAGATAGGTAACGTCTCCCTAGTGAAGACATTGAGTCCTAAACGATGTCGCTTTTGCCCCCACGGCCGAGTCGTACCCGCTACGTTGGCAGGCGTACACTTATTGGGCGTACCTACTGGCGTAGAGATGCTGAGGGTCAAATTTGACCCTATACAGAATCCATGAAGATTGAAAGTTTAATTGAAAGAGTTTTCAGGTGAAATTCCAGAAGAAATTGATAGCTTCAGCTACTGAAGATACTAAGTTTATAATTACTGGTTTATTGTCGTTGATACAGGGTAGTGGGAATTTTACTTCTCTTAAGAGGCTAATTGAACCTTAGAAGTTAGAAACAAGTTGTTAATAGGTCAGTCCCTTTACTGGATCGTTGCATCAATATAAGTGGTGCATATTAGAACTGGTTAAAGTAATAAGCTAATTAATCCGTAATACTTTTCGAGGAAGCACGACAAAAAGAACAGTAATAGGTAGAAGCAGAAGATATTTGGGGCCATTATATCATCTTAAATAGCTTTCTCCTGCATCAATTGTTCGTCTCTAATCTCCATAATGGCTGAAAGTGCAATTTTGCTACAGAGCAGTTCACGGGCTAGGGCATTTTGAGTTTGAGGGCGTTCCCATGGTCCAAAATGGTTGAATTTCTGCAGAGCTCCACATTTGGCCACTGTTAGCTGCTGTCTTCACAGTCGCATGATGAAAAAATCTGGACGAATCATGTGTCAGTCTATATATTTGGCCCTTTTTCCTAAAATACCTTACATGCAATGTTCATCTGTATTTTCAATTGAAAGGTTACGCAGATATGTTAGGTAATGGAAAGTCTCTCCCGTTGCTACATGAGAGATACAGACTATAACATGCCATGGCGTAGTATATAAAATTGAAAAGGAAAATGCTTAGTTATGGCTATGCACAAAATTGGAGGAAAAAGTTTAAATTCTTAAAACAAATACGAGTCATCAAGCAAAACAAAATGGTAGACAAGCTATCTGCGGCTTTTCATAGCATTAGTCTCCAGAGTTGTTGTAACTTCTTGTGAAGCATGAAGTAAAGAGCTTCCATCCATTTAACTTCCAATAGCCACACAATTACCTGCAATAACATTCAAGGAACAACTACTGAACTCTATAACTTTTTTCCCGAAAACGGATATGGAAATTACCTGATGTCATGTTGTTAGGTCGTTCAATAACAAGAGGAGAGCTTCTGTCTAATCTTTTCCAATGCCGCTGCAGCATCAGTCATGTTTATCCTTTCAACGGGAACATTAGCTGTGCAATTCATGGCTAACTCCATGATAGATGACACACATTGCAACTTTTGACTTAAGTTTTGCTCATCTAATGTTAGTAAGTCGGCATCTATGATTTGGTCCAACTGATCAGGAAGCGAATTATGCACGAAGCTTCTCAAATTTAAATCTCCCGTGAACATTTCATCATTAGGTTTCTTCTTTGTAAATGTTTCGAGCAACATGATGCCATAACTATAAACATCAGACCTCTTGGATATAAGTGTGGGGTCCAGTCCTCAAATAATAAGTAAAGAAAAAAGAAAAAGAAAAATAGTGATTGGTTGAAAGAAAGGCAAATGGTGTGCTCTGCAGAACAATTTGCAAAACCAATTGGCGTTGCCCATCTTACAACTTGCAACAAACCAAACAATCTGATTGGTTACTTGGGTGGCCATTTACTACTATAAATAGTAGCTACATTTCTCATTGTAAACACACCAAATCGAGAGAAGCAACAGAGAGTTAGAGAGAGTAATCCACAGATTGTAGTCTGTGAGATAAATAGTGAGTGAGAGTAATATTGTAGTGAGGTGTTTAAAATAAAGAGTGTTATTTCTTTCGAAGTTGTAGTAGTCTCTTGACCCTACTAAGTTGTAATATTATAGTGGTAATATTGCTCCGCTGGGGTATTGTATTTTACCCCGTTAAAATATTTGGTGTCTTGTTACTCTCTTGTGTTATTATTATTTACCGTGGATATTATTCCCGGGCGGAAATATTTTTATTCCCAACAACGTGGTATCAGAGCCATGACGACCAATGGTCCGCTGTCTTTTCAGTACCCCCGTCTCACAAAAGATAATTATGAGAAATGGTGTCTACGTATGAAAGCCATTCTTGGCTCCCAGGATGTGTGGGAAATCGTAGATAGAGGGTATGCAAAACCTGATAATGAGGAAGCTCTGCCTCAAAATGAAAAAGATGTCTTGGCAAAGACAAGGAAGAAGGATCAACAAGCCCTCACGCTCATCCACCAATATCTGGATGATGTCATGTTTGAGAAGGTGGCGGATGCTACCACCTCAAAGGAAGCTTGGGAGATTTTACAAAATTCTCTTCAAGGAGTTGACAAGGTGAGGAAAGTAAAACTTCAAACTCTAAGGGCTGATTTTGAAGTTTTAAAATGAAAGAATCCGAATGCATTTCGGATTATTGTTCAAAAGTGAAGGCTGTTGTAAATCAGTTGAGAAGATATGGGGAGGACATAGAAGATGTCCGTGTGGTAGAAAACATCCTTCGCACTTTAACACCTAAATTCGATTTTGTGGTGTGTGCTATTGAAGAGTCTAAAGATTTAGACTCAATGATGGTGGAGCAATTGGAGGGTTCTTTACAGGCCCATGAAAAAAAGATCAAGAGGAGACAAGAAGTGCCATTGGAGCAACTTCTTAGAATTCAGGCATCCTTCAAGGATTATGGAGGTGAAAAAAGCTATCGAGGGAATGGAGGAGGACGAGGCCGTGGCGGTCATGGACGAGGAAGAAGTAATGGTAACAACTTCAACAATGAAGTTAAAATCCACCAAACATTCAGAGGTCATGCTCGTGGACAAAGAGGAGGAGAGGACGTGGCTACTACCAAGAAAATAATGGACAAAGGTATGAAAAATTAAAAATTGAGTGTTATAATTATCATAAATTTGGCCATTACTCTTGGAAATGTCGTAGCAATGTTGAAGAAAAAGCTAACCTTGTTGACGATAAGAAAGAAGAAGTTGAGTCAACGTTGTTGATGGCACTCAAGGAAGAAGACAAGGATGATCGCCGCTCGTGGTATTTGGACAATGGAGCAAGCAATCATATGTGTGGATGCAAAGAAAAGTTTGTGGAGATCAATAAAACGGTGAGAGGTAATGTGTCCTTTGGAGATACCTCAAAGATTCAAATCGAAGGGATAGGTACGATTCTGATCTCCTGTAAAGATGGTAGTCACAAGCTAATTCAAGATGTTTATTATGTGCCAAAATTAAAAAGTAATATTTTGAGTTTGGGCCAACTTCTTGAAAAGGAATATGACATCCACATGAAAAATATGCATCTTTGGCTTAGAGATTCAAGTGGAATTCTAATTGCTAAAGTGCATATGGCAAAGAATAGATTATTTTCTCTAAATCTTAAAATAATTGATGCAAGTCTTTGAAGGCTAATGTGCAAGATGAATCATGGTGTTGGCACATGCGATTTGGGCACTTGAATTTTGAAGCGCTCAAATCAATGGGAGAAAAGAACATGGTACATGGGATACCATCAATCAACCATCCAAATCAACTGTGTGAAGCTTGTCTTCTAGGAAAACATGCAAGGAGGAGTTTTCCAAAGGAGGCCATGTCAAGATCAACCAAGCCGCTCCAGCTTGTTCACACTGATGTGTGTGGACCAATCAATCCACCTTCTTTTGGTAAAAATAGATACTTTCTGCTTTTCATTGATGACTTTAGTAGAAAGACTTGGGTTTATTTCTTGAACCAAAAATCTGAAGCTTTTGCTGCTTTTAAAAATTTCAAAGTACTTGTGGAGAAAGAAAGTGGCTATGAAATTAAAGCTCTAAGGTCCGATAGAGGAGGCGAATTTTCACTTCAAACGAATTTAATGACTTTTGTTAGTCTTATGGAATTCGTCGCCCTCTAACGGTACCTTATTCACCCCAACAAAATGGAGTTGCAGAGAGAAAGAATCGAACGATTCTTAATATGGCTCGATGTATGTTGAAAGCTAAAAGTATGCCCAAGGATTTTTGGGCCGAAGCTGTTTCTTGTGCAGTTTATTTGAACAACAGGTCTCCAACAAGGAATGTTAAAGATCAAACGCCTCAAGAAGCATGGAGTGGAAGAAAGCCAAGTGTCAAACACTTGAGAATCTTTGGGAGCATAGCATATTGTCACGACCCTAAATCCCAACCCGGTCGTGATGGCGCCTCTCGTGAAGACAAGGCCAGCCGACACACCTCCAATTCACTTTAAACAACTAAAACAACAACTACTAAGTCTTTAATCAGAAATAAAATCCCGAAATGAGCATTTAACAGTATAATTTGCGGAAATAAAAACCAACACAACCCGACATCAGGGTGTCACTAGTCATGAGCAGGTTTAGTAGAGTCTCGCGGATCGGTACGAAGACGTCTGTATTTATCCTCGAGAGGCTACAGAACCTTTAGGAAAAACTTCACATTCTTGAATTCTTATCGTGCGTCCTTGATTCAGCTTGAAAAGTAACTTTTGAAATTCCTTCCACGCGTTCGTATGCGCGCATGAGCGCTCAGTATCAGATGTGCATCGATGGCTTGTGATTCCCTGATCGAGGGGCGAGATGTGATCTCTGTGTGTTTGACATTGGGCCAGTCTGGAGGACTTGAGGCCGGATTTTTACCTATAGCTTGAGCACCGAGGTGCTGATTATGTGAGTCGTGTTTTCGAACTTATATATTCGGTAGAGCCCCTATTAGTAGAAGTGATGGCTGGATAGTTACGTGATGAGTGTGATGTGACTGCGAGATGTATTCATGTGATTTAGAAGCGTCGAGAAGGGTCTGCTGGAGGATAGAAGAACTATTAGGTGCTTGATTTTCATCTTGATTCGAGGTATAGCCCCGAGTTATGGGTGTGTGAAGAACCTTTTCATGTTTCCTAGTTGGGAGTGAAGTAAATTTCATGTTGCGGTATGGTTCAGACTCAGGAAGATCAAGCGACTGCATAATGTTTATGACGGTGGAAGGTATACAGAAATGTTAGTTTGAGGCAAAATAGGTGGGTTATCTCATGCGGAGTGTTCTGAAGTTGTGTGATCCTTATGTTGTCTGTTAGAAGATCTCATTTACAAGTGAAATATATGTGTTGAAATTTAAGTTTGGGTCGCTTAAGAGAGTGCGTTTAACTGTTGCAAGAGTGAATGCGAGATTTGCAGAAGATTTGAAGTCCTAGATGGTCTGTGTCGTACGAGCTTATGAAGGGTTGAGTTTAATCTCACTATGGTATTATGACAGCAATAGAGTATATGCGTTATGAGTTATTGTATGTGTTTTGATCTATGGCTTCGAGCCAAGTGGGGGGAGTCTGCTGTGATTAGAAGTTATCGCTACCAGTGTTTGAGTTATGTGGTATATCATGTAATTGCACCTAAGGTTACAGATATGGTTTGTTACAGCTTGTTCGGACTTATTCACAGTATAAATGTGAGATTCTGATCGTATTGAAGATTTCAGAAGTGGAAATGTGGTTCTAAGATTTAAGGGCTAGGTTGGATTGTGAAATTTCAGTTATATCGTATTATCGGACCTATGTGATATAGAGTGACGTGGGATCACCCCCGGGCCGCAGATGCGGAATCTGGGCATTTAGGTGATGGGTCGCAGGTGCGACCTTTGGTCCGCAAATGCGGGACCGTAGAAGCGGTCCCAAGGCCGCAGATGCGGTAACTGCTGGACATAATGGTGTTTAAAAGGGGTTACGCGACTTTGAAGTTTATTTCCACCATTTTAATCGTTTTTGGAGCACTTTGGAAGTTGGGTCGAAAGGCAAGCGTGTTGCAGAGTAGCTTTTCGGGCTAGTTCGAGGTGAGTAATGATTTTAAATACTGTTCTGAGGGTATGAAACCCCGGATTGCACAGCATCGTGCTATATTGAGGTGAAACACACGCTAGATGACGAGCGTGGGGTCGTGCACCGTTGGGGATTGTGACTTAGTCCATCCCGAATGAATATTTTTCTGTATAATGGGCAGCTAATTATTTGATATTATTATACTTTGGGCTAAATGCCATATTTGGGCTTCGTGCCAACTGTTTGAACCCTTAGGGGATTGTTAATGATATTTTCCTCACTGTTTGATTTCATACTTGTGCTCAGTCATGCTATATTTTCACTATTTTAAAAACTCAGCTATGTTATTCTGTTTTAAACACATTAATTGATATTTTCAAAGATATTTGAGCTGAGCTTCATATTTTACTGATGCCCGAGGGGCTTATTTGATTATGACTGAGTAAGGCCGAGGGCCTGTATTGTGAGGATACTTTTGGGTCGGGCTGCACGCCACATCAGTGATATACTGATTATGATAATGAGGCCGAGGGCCTGAGATTGTGCGCCACGAGGCGGCTTGATATTGATATGAGGCCGAGAGCCTGTTTATGATGCCACGAGATGGCTTGATATTGCGCTTGGGCCGTAAGGGGCCTCTCCAGGAGTATGTATACCCCCAGTGAGCGCGGTTACCCAGTGTGATGATTTTGTTTATTATGTGAGGCCGAGGGCCAGATTGGTTATGCCACGAGATGGCTTGTTATTGCGCTTGGGCCGTAAGGGGCCCCTCCCGGAGTTTGTACACCCCCAGTGAGCGCGGGTACCCATTGTGATACGAGATATAGCCCGAGGGGCTGGTATTGTTCTATGTTATTGCCCGAGGGGCTGATTCTGTTGGTATTGTGCCCGAGGGGCTGATTCTATTGATATTGTGCCTGAGGGGCGGTTCTTTACGTGCTTATTTTTTTCTAGTTGCTTGTCATTTACTTGCTTAACTGTTAAAAGTTCTAATTGCTTGCATTCAATTGCTTAACTGTTGAAAAGCCATTTTTTGAAGAAGTTTAAACTGAGCTAAGGTGCTTAAGAGATTTCATAGCTTCATTGCTTTCTTACTAGTTTTGTACTGCTTCTATACAGCATGTTGATGTACTTTTCGTGATTTCCTATCACTAAGTCTTCATTTATTTTTATTACTCACTGAGTTAGAAGTACTCACTTTACTCCCTGCACCTTGTGTGCAAATTCAGGTATTTCTGAACTCGGTAGCGGGTACTGGTTGCTCAGAGGCAGAGTCATCAGAGTTTAGCAGGTAGCTGCCCGACGTTTGCAGCACTGCTTTTCTCCCTCTCGATTTCATTAGACCGTGTTTAGCACATTTTTGACTCTAGTTGTATTCGGACCTTAGTAGATGCTCATGACTAGTGACACCCCGATGTCGGGCTGTATTGGTTTTTATTTTCGCAAATTATACTGTTAAATGCTCATTTTGGGATTTTATTTCTGATTAAAGACTTAGTAGTTATTGTTACCATTTTCCCCCGCTGTACACCTTCTGGGCACGTTCGAGGATGAATGTATGTTTAAGTGGGGGAGGATGTAACGATCCGACCGGTCGTTTTGAGCTTTTGCACTTTGCTCGCCAGTTCTCGGGCATGACTTGCCCCGTGTAGTGTATTATGACTTATGTAAATCGTTGGTTTTGGTTTTCAGGGTGATCAGAATAAATTTGGAAGAACAGTTCTTAGTTTGAAGCTTGAAATTTGAAAGGTTTGACCAAGATTTGACTTGTTAATATATGATCTCGGATTGGAATTTTTATGATTTGGTTAGCTCCTTTAGGTGATTTGGGACTTAGGAGCGTGATCGGAATGTGTTTTGGAGGTCCGGAGTAGATTTAGGCTTGAATTGGCGAAATTGAGTTTTTGGCATTTTCCGGTTGATAGGTGAGATTTTGATATAGGGGTCGGAATGGAATTCCGAGAGTTGCAGTAGTTCCGTTGTGTCATTTGGGATGTGTGTGCAAAATTTCAGGTCATTTGGACGAGGTTTGATAGACTTTTTGATCAAAAGCGTATTTTGGGAAAAATTGGAGTTCTTAGGCTTGAATCCATGGTTAATTTGAGGTTTCGATGTTGTTTTAGGTGTTTTATGGATTGGTACAAGTTTGGACAATGGCATTAGACTTGTTGGTGCCTTTGGTTGAGGTTTCGGAGACCTCGGGATGATTTCGGATGGTTGTCGGGGAGTTTGAGGGGTGTGAGCAGCTGCTGAACTTTGCTGCTTCTGGTATTTTCGCACCTGTGGTTTGGGGACCGTAGGTGCGATGCCGC